TAGAAATTATAGATTAATTAAGTATTAAAATTAATTAATTTTAATCTTATTTTAACAATTAAATTTAAATTATTTGAATAAATAAATTAATTAAACTAATTGAAAAAAATTAAATTGACTTTAAGTGACATCAAAAGTTAAAATTTTGAGGTATCTAATTTTACAATAGTTAACTAATGTATAATTTAAATTAATATACTCTTAAAATTTTTACTATTTATATAACAACTAGATTTGCTAGTCTATTTAATATATAATAAACATATTTTCATCTATTAACTTACTATATCTTTATATGAATTAAAATAGATAAATTTAAATAAATAAACATATGCATTCTATTCTATAAAATTCTCTATTTTATGTAAAAAATCAAGTTCAATAAAAATATCTTTAACATATTCCCTAAAAATATTTTTTTATTAAAATATTTTAAATAAAATTCTTCTCTATATTATTTTATTAATAGCATTTTAATAATTTCATTGTTTAAATTAAATTTTAATTGTGTAGTCTCAGGCGAAAAACCCGAAACTCCTCTCAGTTTTAACTTTTTAAGTTTTATTGGTTAAACATACTCGCGTTACAGGGGATCAAGTTCACCAATTTCGATGGGCCGAGCTTAAGACAATCCAGCCCCACGATATGTTGGGTCCCTTCTAAGTGACATGGGCCTCACCCACAGTAGGGTTAAGCCATTGCCGACCGGGCCAGTCCGGACTGGCGAATAGTTGTTCTAGTTTACCGTTTCTTACCAAAATTAGCCTTCCAATGGCATCTCCAAAATGACACATGTTACTTGTTATAGTACAATCTTACATCAGATTGTTTTTTCTAGTTTACCAATATCCTTTCCTTCTAAGGATTATATATGTCAAGTCATTCCTCTTCTTAGAGCAGAAAGCAACTCAAGTAGAACTTAATGCAGAGATCACATCCTGATTATATCCCGAATCTGTGACCCATTTCGTCAAAATGGCTACAAGAGGGCTAAACATTGGACTTGTCATGGTCCTGGTGACCCTGTTTTGTGCAAGAACCATGTTTTGGTAAATCAGTTTATGATTTCAAGATCGGAAAATATTGCTTTGATTTAGGTCATCTGAAAGTGAGAAAATGGTTGCTCAGAAATTTTTTCTTTCTTTTATGTTGACTGAAGTGTGAAAGAGGAATACGACTGTCTTGTTTTTAGCTGACGAAAGAATTGTTAGCTGGAAATTTGAACATTCCTCTCTGTAGTCACTAATCACTTGGTTTTCTGAATAGCAGTTCTTGGGAAACATGGCTGCTGAGAGATCTGGGATTGGCAAAGGTGTCACTGAAGTAAGCTCTTTCTCTCCTTTTTCTTTTTTTTTTTTTTTTTTTGGTATAATGTTTACATTGGTGGAGATTAGAGGATATTTCTTCTTTCTCTAGACTTGATTCATCTGCTTATGTTTGTTGTTTGTGTAGTCGATTGGTAAAACACCATTGGTATATCTCAATCGGATCGTGAATGGTTGTGTTGGTCGCATTTTCTTGAGTTTGTTCTTATCTTAACATTAGGAATTACTAATGCTGATTTGAATTTTCAATGCGTTTCTTATGTTAACTATTAGATTTTTTTCTAATCCTGATAATTGGTCTTGATGATGCAGGATTGGTTATAGCATGATTACAGATGCTGAGGAAAAGGGCCTTATCATCCCTGGCAAGGTAGGTTTTTTTATTTTTTTTATTTCTTAAATTTAAAACTTTAGGTTGGACATGAGCTTAGTGGGGGAACTGGGGAAAATAATTAAATAATGAACGAGGGATTTTGTCTTCTGGGTGAAGTTTTAAGCTGTTGAGTTTCTTATGAATTTGATTGTGATCTGTG